TGAAGCAGCAATAAAGAGTCTTCCCAAAAAAGAAAAGTCCAGGACCTGATGGATTCCCCACTGAATTCTACCAGACCTTTGAAGAACTAGTACCAACACTCCTTAAACTTTAACACAAAGTAGAAAGGGATGGAACACTGCCTAACTCATTCTGTGAAGCCAGTATTACACTTATCCCCAAACTGGAAAAGGACACATCCAAAAAAAGAGCACTACAGGCCAGTCTCCTTAATGAACATTGATGCAAAAATCCTCAATGAAATAATGGCAAATCAATCCAGCACCATATCAGAAAGATCATTCACCATGACCAAGTTGGCTTCATCCCAGGGATGCAGAAATGGTTCATCAAATCCAAATCATTAAATGTAATATAGCATATTAACAGAAGCAAAGTCAAAAACCACTGATCATCTCAATAGATGCAGAAAAAGCCTTTGATAAAATTCAACACCATTTTATGATAAAAGTGCTGATGAAACTAGGAATAGAAGGAATGTACCTCAACATAATAAAGGCTATATATGACAGACCTGTAGCCAACATCATATTTAATGAGGAAAAACTGAAACCATTTTCCCTAAAGTCAGGAATGAGACAAGGGTGCCCACTCTATCCACTCCTGTTCAACATAGTCTTGGAATTCCTAGCCAGAGCAAGAAGGCAGGAAGAAGAAATAAAAGGAATATAAATAGGTAAAGAAGTCAAACTATCCTTATTTGCAGACGACATGATCTTATACCTAAAAGACCCAAAAAACAACACCATAAATAGCTTTGGCAAAGTAGCAGGATACAAAATCAACTTACAAAAATCAGTAGCCTTTCTACACACCAACAATGAACAGGTTGAGAAAGAATGTAGGAAAATAATTCCATTTACAATAGCCTCAAAAAAAAAAATCAAATACTTAGAAGTAAACTTAACAAAGGATGTAAATGACCTCTACAAGGAAAATTACAGACCATTGAAGAAAGAATTCAAACACAGTTACAGAAGATGGAAAGATCTCCCATGCTCATGGATTGGCAGAATCAACATAGTAAAAATGGCTATACCACCAAAAGTAATCTACATGTTTAATACAATTCCCATCAAAATCCCAATGACATTCATCACAGAGATTGAAAAATCTACCCTAAAGTTCACTTGGAAACACAAAGGACCCTGAATACCCAAAGCAATACTGAGCAAAAAGAGCAATGCTGGATGTATCACAATACCCAACTTCAAACTATATTACAGAGCCATAGCAATAAAAACAGTATGGTACTGGCACAAAAACAGATATAAAGACCAGTGGAACAGAATAGGGGACCTGATAAGAATCCATGCAGCTATGTCTACCTAATTTTTCACAAAGGTGCCAAAAACATACCATGGAGAAAAGACAGGCTCTTAAATATTGCTGGCAAAACTGGTTATCTGCCTGCAGAAAACTGAAACTGGATCCATATTGTCACCCTGTACAAGTATCAACTCAGTGGATTAAGGACCTTAATGTCAGACCTGAAACCTTGAAATTAGTACAGGAAACAGCAGGGAATACACTGGAAGCAATAGGTATAGGCAAGGACTTTCTCAGTAGAGCACAAGCAGCTCAGCAACTAAGAGAAAGGATTGACAAATGGAATTACATGAAATTATGTAATTCCAACAAAAGAAATGGTCTCTAAATTGAAGAGGCCACCCACAGAGTGGGAGAAAATCTTTGCTAGCTTTACATTAGAGACAAGGGACTGACTTGTCCAGAATATACAGGAAGCTCAAAAAACTAAAATCCCCCCAAATCAATGACCCAATAAAGAAATGGGCAAGTGAACTGAACAGAATTTTTTCAAAGGAAGAAATCCAAATGGTTAAAAAACACATGAATAAATGATCATCCCTGGCCATAAAAGAAATGCAAATCAAAACCACAGTAAGGTTCTACCTCACTCCTGTTAGAATAGCTATCATCAGGAACACCACCACCACCAACAGATGTGGGCAAGGAAGCGGGGACAAAGAACCCTCATACACTGCTGGTGGGAATATAAGCTCGTACAACCACTATGGAAAATAGTGTGGAGGCTCCTTAAAAAACTAGAAATAGATCTGCCATAAGATCCAGTAATACCACTCCTAGGGATATACCCAAAGGAATGTGAATTAAGTTACAACAAAGGCACCTGCACACCCATGTTTATTGTAGCACTATTCACAATAGCTAAGGTATGTAAACAGCCAAGATGCCCTACTTCTGACGAATGGTTTAAGAAAACGTGGCATTTATACACAATGGAATTTTACTCAGCTACGAAGATGAATGAAATTTTGTCATTTGCAGGTAAATGGATGGAATTGGAGAATATCATTGTAAGTGAAGTTAGCCAGGCTCAGAAGGCCAAAAGCCACATGTCTCCTTCATAAGCGGATTGTGGACCTGGAACAAATGCAGCAATATTATGGGACATGGGTCACACCAGGAGGCAGCTGAGCAAGGGAGGGATAGGGCAAGGGAAGGAAACCAAAAACTCAAGTAAGGTTGATGTACTCAGTATACAGGAATGAATATAGAAATTTTTAACTGGTCGGGGCCACCATGGGAAGCAGACTAGGGAGGAGTGAAGAAGACTGAAAAGGTGAAACAACTGGAGCTGTAATATACATATGCATGGGAACAACACAAGGAAACTCCCTGTGTAGCTATTTTTATCTCAAACTAGTAAGACGTCCTGTTTCTCATTTTATCTTTATTTTTTGTTTTTTCTTCCACAAAATTGCAGAACAGGAGGGCAGAACAGGTTTGGAGGCTGGGGATGCTGTTGGCACTGGTGGGAAGGGGCAGGAAGTGGAAAAAGGGGTAGGAGGATGAATATGGTGCAACAGTGTATACACATGTATATAAATGCAAAGATGATTCTTGTTGAAACTTCCAGAAATCCGGAGAGGGGAAATGAGGGAGAGAAGTTTAAGGGGGGAATTCAAGTATAATATATTTGATACATTGTAAGAACATTTGTAAATCTACAATGTACCCACACCCAGCACAACAATTAAAAAAAAAGAAAGGAAAAAATGTAGCTCTGTTTAAGAGGTAGCTTCCTCCATCCACAGCTCAGTTATACCAAATTCCCTATCTCTAAGCTAAAAAGAAAATATGAAGCACTGGCATATGGCATAATGGTCAGTTCCATGTAGGAATACAATTTTCATCTGAATCCATTGAACCACTTCTTCAATTCTTTATCTGTTAGTCAATTACTGACTGCCTATTCTGGGTCAGGCAGCAGGCTGAAGTATACCAATAAATGAGACAATCCAAATCCTGAAAGATCCACTAAAAGAGAGTCTGCAGTCAGAAGCACATAAGGTATAGGAAGTGCCAGATCCCAAAACCTTTACTTTGTTTTTATGAATGCATCATTTATATGGTTTCAACTTTTTTTTTTTTTTTTCCCTGAGACAGGGTCTCTCACTGTGTGTAGCTCAGGCTGGCCTCAAACTATCATGATCTTCCTATTCCTACTCCCTAGTGTTGGGATTACAGGTATGCACCAGTACAGCTGGCTAGTTTCAAGTTTTTTTAAAAACTTGGCCCAACTCCATCTGTTTTTCAGAGATAAAATTTTGTTTTCTCCAAACTTAGTATTCTGAACTATTATGTAAATATCAATCTTAAAACATTTTCACTTTCAGTAAATTTAGTTGTGAATTAATGTAAATATTTAAAACTATTTTAAAATACAAATAAAAGAATCATTAAAATGATTATGCTTTTCAAAAATCCTTACTCTTAGTAGTGATGAGGAATGGCAGCAAGAATTGGGTTATATGGGTAGGTATGAATCAGATTATTATGTAGCTATAGAACCTTTATAATATGATGAGTACAAATGCTTTGAAAACATTCTGGCAGTTTTATGGAATGTCCTTTGAATCATCTGACCCACTTCCAGATATAGTCCCTAGAGAAACCTTTGCAATGTGCAAGGATATTCACAAGGATAGCAAAAAGTTATATATCACCTAAATGTTCCTTGGCAGAAAAATGAGTATAATGTGATAATCTATATAATGCAATGCCATATAGCATTAAAATGAATAAAGTATAGTTTTGCTCACCAACATAATTTTAAAAGCACATTGAATGAGTAAATGCACAGTGCTATAACATTCATATAAAGTTTAGATGCAGAATAAGTAAGGATATACGTTGTTTATGTACATGTTCACTGTAAAAATTTTTTTAAATATAAGAGGGAGCAGGTGAGTGGTTAAGATGATGGACTGCTAAAAATATTAGAAGATAAAGGAAATGGTTTCCTCTAAAGAGAGAGGAAGAATAAGATGGGGCAGGAATGTGTAGGGGACTTCAGTTGTATCTGTTACGATATAATATATTTGAATTATCAATAAATGTTTTATTTTCTTTAGTTTTGTTATTATTGACTTTTAAAGTAATAAAACAGTTTCTTTACAAACTAAGAAGTTTCTTACTAACTGTAGGATTTCCTGTTTATGAAACATATAAAGAGTTGCCAACTTACAGTATAAAGTTCTTGTCATCAACTTTCTTTAAAAGTTAAATTTCTGAAGCTGTTCTAGGAATGAGGGGAGGTGAGATAAAGGAGAATGATGTGTGTGTGGGGGGTGTTATGATTTCAACTATGTTATATTCTAAGAACTTTTATAAATGTTACAATGTGCCCCCAGCACAACAATAAAAAAAGTTAAATTTCATTCATAAATATTTTGTAATCAGTTTTAAAATAATTATTCCTTGGGTTTGGTTGCTGTACTTACTATGTTTTCACTTAAACTATTTTATTGATAGTATAGATTCTTTTATATAATTATTTTTATTGCTGTGTTAGTTTTGCATCTTAATGAAATTCAGTATGATATTTCCACACATGTATACAGCATGTACTGGTCAAATCCAACTTCATTTTATCTGTATTAGAAACTATTCAATTGTGATGTATGATAGCATTATTTTTTCTTTTAACATTTAGCTTCTATGCCTTTGCATATGTCAACCTGGGTTATAATGAAGAACATTGTTGCTAAAAATGGGTTTGCCGGACTATTTACAGGTAAAAATATTTGCTTTACTGAATCATTGAATTAAATAATTAGTTTTAAATCTGTCACCTTCTAAAATTACTTGCAGAAGGAAATTACAGGTAACATTCTATATTATTTTCTCCTAAATATCTCTGTTGTATGTTAATATAAATGTTAGATAGCAGTAGGTTTACTAACAATAAGATAAAATTTCCATATAATCTGGAATTAAAGCTGACATTGAGAGTTTGATATGTTCTTTGATACCAATATTTAATACATTACTTCATTTAATTTGATCATTGCAGTAAAGTCAAATAAGTTACATTTTTTAAAAAATGAGGTGAAGCTTGTTCTTTTTCCTGTTCTCTTTTCAGGCCTAATTCCTCGCTTGATTAAAATCGCTCCTGCTTGTGCCATTATGATCAGCACATATGAGTTTGGAAAGACTTTTTTCCAGAAACAAAATGCTCAAAGACAGCAACTCTAGTGATGCTATTTTAACTTGAAATAATAACCATAGCCAAAAGAACTAGGCAAGAATTATTTTCACCATTATTCTCTTACAGTGATTTTATGTCTTTCTTCCCTATACTTAAATGGCAATTTATACTCTACCTCTAAATCATAATCTTAATTTTAAAATAATTTTTTTCTTATTTTTGGAGATTTTTAAAAAGATAAGAAATCACAGCCATTTAGCGTTCTTCTAAAGAAAAGAAAATTACTCATTAGTATTGAAAGCAATCTCTTGAATTTGATAACTACATTTCAGTGTAACTTAATCTTACTGTGAGCATGTCAGATACATCAGAACTTTTTGAATTGTGTGCTGAATGACATACAGTCTAGAAGGACAAAATTCAAGTTTTATGCACATTTAATTTAAATCACGTACATGGGTATTTTGGTATTTCAGTAGATAGTAAGAGGCCATCATTACTCACACTTGCCAAATATTACCCATTAATTTCTTTTGAATTAGGGATTTATACTTCCCACCCCTCCACACCCACGCCCACCATCGTTACTGTTTTACGATCTCACATGGATCAGGATTTCTCTGATTAAAGGTGAGCCTGTTTTATACTACCCAATATATAATTATTTGTGTGATGCAGATCTTGCCATTTTTTATGACTAAAGAACTTTATGTACTGTTTGTATAAAAAAGGGAGTTTTTACAGATTAATAAATGTTCACTTCATTCAAACTTGGGTCTGTAGTGGAAACCCACATTGCATTTAGACTAGTAAAAGTCAACAGGGCATAGGAATGGCCTCTGGTTTTTAGCCAACTTGTAATCGAAGTATCATTGTTTGTGGAGTTCTTTTGATCATTTCTGTGACTTTTTCTAACAAGAAACCAGTATGGGTTGAGCTTCCCTAATCTGAACCAGAGAGCACCAACATGCTACCACAAGTAGAAATTATATACCTGCCCTCATGTAAAGGCACACAAAATGCAGGCAGACAAAAAATGCTGCATAAAATTACCTTCAGACTACATATGTATGTATAAAGTATATAAGAAAGGTGAATGAATTCTGTGTTTAGACTTGGGTCCTCTCCCTAAGATACTTCATTATGTATATGCAGATATTCCAAAATTGAAAAAAACTGGAAACATAAAACACTTCTTGTCCTAAGCATTTTGGATAAGAGGGTAGTGTATACACTAATAAAAGTCACAAAATATTTTCACAATGACCCTAGATTTTACACTGTCTCATATTGATGTGATAAACCAAAAAACTTAACAGGATGTTTGCATCAACACATTGTATGTGACCAAGTAAGTTAGCTCATTACTTTATGTAGGAATGAGATAAAGACATGATTGGGCTGGGGATGTAGCTTAGAGGTAGAGTGCTTTCCTATCATATATGAGGCCATGGGTTTGATCCCTAGTACCAGGTTAAAAAAAAAGATGGCAGGACAAGAAAATGATATATTTTTTATATTTTTGTTTGATTTTCCCAGGATCCATGTCTTTCAGAAAAAGCACTTTATTGCATTCTGTGTGTGTATGAAAATGTGAAGTATTTTCCTTCCTAAAGGAAGCATAATATATTTTGGTGACACATCTGTGGCATGGTAGGGAAATTAATACAATTTGTATTATAGTAGAAAAGCATTTTACATGTTTGACCAGAAATAAACGATGTAGGGTTTATATGTAACTTTGGGTGTTTTACCCTGTGTTGATTTACCTCAGATTTAGAATTTATATAACCATGTAAGTATTCATGACTTCTTAATATCTCTATTAAAATATTTATGCTCACTTGAAATTATCATTGTGTTTCTATCTAAATGGTTTCATATAAAAGCATAATGTTATACTATGTTATATATAAATGAAGTTTATTTTAAACATTGCTATTCAACAGTAGTAAATTTGTCTTGTTTTTGTTATGCTTCCTTTCACTTTATTGGTAGGAAAAGGCAAAAGTCTCAGTACTGAGCTCTCAAAAAACAGTGTAATATTACTTATGAATACCAGAAAGGTTTCCATCTCCTCTACTCCCTAGCACTGCACTTGAAGAAAATTCTTATTTATGAATAAAATAAGTTAAATAAATCTGATTGTCTAGTAGTTTCTTTCTTTTCTTTTAGGCTATGTAGTCTGTTGCTGCTGTATGCCTGGGCTGGTCTCAAACTGACGATGCTCTTACATCATTCTCCCTAATCCTGGGATTTGTAGGGTGTGCCACCATGCCCAGCTGCCTACTGGTTTTCCTAACACATTTTACATGCAGTTTATCTGGATGAAAAGAAGGCCAAATTGAAACTTTCTCTATAATTAAGTCATAAAGAATCTTTAATTAGTACTTTAAAAATAATTTCATTTTTATACTAAAAGAGTGTTTCGATAAACAGTCCATGGAACGGCTAAAAATTGTAAGTTTTCTCCCAAAGTTCTGTCTAGTAAAAAAATGAATGAATATCCTCATGTTTCACATCACTTCAGTAGATAAATTTAACTTTCAGCCATATGGGCTTACCAGACTTTTCAATATGTATGCTGTAGGAATTGCAATATTTGCTACCAGCCTATACCAGTTTTCTTGGTAGTGCTTCTAAAGGAAGCATTGTTAATTCTTTTAATTTAAAGTGATGTTAAATTTCATATCATATACTTACTTATAGAGTAAGATTTTAAAGAATACATGTCTTGAATATTCAAGTATTGCAACCTTTAATATAGTACACATTTGACTGTTTAAAAAAAGTAGATGTGGAGTTTAAATTTTGTTTTCTACAAACTTCACTATGCTTATTTAACTACATATCTATATTTACCTATCTATCTATACATTCTTCCTTTTTCTTTTTTTGTTTGTTTTTGGCGGTGCTGGGGTTTGAACTCGGCCTCACACTTGCTAGGCAGGCATTCTGCCACTTGAGCCACTTCACCAGCCCCTTCCCTTTTTCTTGAGCACAAATTTTAGGGATATAGGGAAATTTACTTTAGTGTATCACTTTTAGTGCTTTTCCCAATGAACTTTTTAAGTAAAAAAATAACTGCTTTTATTTTTTAACTGTCATCATTTATTGAGACTTTATGAATCCTGATGTTCACAGTGGCCTTGTGACACTTCAGAGGTAATCCACTGTTAATTCAGCAAAATCTAGACATTTTACTATTGTTAGGAACTTCAGCAAAGCCTCATCTGTTGCAAATCTGAATACATTTAAAATCACTGGAAACTTGTATGTAAATCTAATAAAAGTGATTTAAATAAAAAGAGTTTACTTGCTTTTTAAATTAAATTTGTCATTTGCCTCATTAGAACTTTGAAAGTTGTCAGAATCGAAATGGAGTAGCTTCTGTCAAACCTAACAAAAAAAAAGTTGGGAGATTATGAAAAAAGGGTTCTCGCATGCAATTGACTGGTAACTATTATACAAGACTGCCAGAACCTCAGCCTTACACAAAAATACTTCCTCAAGGGCATCTGCCCAGCTATCTCATCAACCTTGGCCTAGAACCATTGTGATTAATTCTTGTGGCCAAGGATTACTGTTTGAAGATATTTTAGGTAATCCTGTTTCCCCTTTAAAAACCTGAAAGCTTTCTTTCTAAGACAGGGAACAAGATAAGAATGTCTGCTTTTACCACTTCTATTCAACAATAGTTCTGGAAGTCCTGGCCAGAGAAATCAGCAAGAGAAGGCAATAAAGGACATCCAAATTGGAAAATATCTCAAAGTATCACTGTTTGCAGATGACATTGTGTGTGTGTACTAAAAAATAAAAATATAGTATGGTACATCTATAAACCAGTAATAGGGCTGGTGGAAGTGGTTCAAGTGGGAGGTATTGCGCCTGCCTAGCCAAGTGTAAAGCCTTGAGTTGAAAACCCAGAACCACCAAGAGAAGAAAAGTAATAGTATGTTTATTATCAAGAATTTGATACTGTACATAATTGTATGCTCTTCTTTTGTATGAGTGGCAGGGTAGATCTATGTGATAGTTTGGAAATAAAATGTCCTCCAAAGGCTCATTTGTTGAATGCTTGGCCCCCAGCCGGTGGTGCTATTTTGGGAGGTGGTTAAAACTGTAAGAGGTGGGGCCTACCTGGAAGCAGGTCACTAAGCCTTTGTCCTGGTGCATATCTCTGCTTTATTCCCCTCTTCTTCTCCCTCCCCATCTTTCCTTCCTCTCTCTAAATTCTCCTCTCAGGTATTTGTCACAGGGATCAAATGCTAACTAATACAGCTTACATCACCATCACCACAAACAAAATGTCCTGTTCCATGTTAAACCCAAACTCAAAGATCCCTCGAGATCAGTGTCCCCTAGAACTCAGAGGTGGTTGTGGGGTTTTTTTGGTTTGTTTTTTTGTTTCTTTTCTATTTTTTTGGTGGTAACTGGAGTTTTAACTCAGGGCCTCATGCTTAACTAGCCAGGCACTACCACTTGAGCCACATCACCAGCCCTTTTTTTATGTTGGGTATTTTTGAGATAGTCCTGGCACCTCTTTGCCCAGGGCTGACATTGAATCACCATCCTCCTTATTTGTACCTCTGAATAGCTAGGTTTATAGGCCAGAGCCACTGGTGCCTAACTTCAGAGTATTTATACAACAAAAATTTGGGGAAGCATATGTTAAACCTGCCTTGGCTGTAGATAAGAGGGAGGTATCACACAAAGTAGAGAAAGCTTTGGGATAGGAGGGCTGTCCACAAGGAGAAGTATAGTTTACTCTGGATTGGTTGGAGTTAGCACTCTGGGAAGTTTATACATAAACAATGTAAGGTCAGCTGGGATTTAAGAGTCAAGGTTTCAACATACATTCAGGTATATGAAACAGTCTTGTTGGGTTTTGCATACAAGCTTTTAATTGAGTAATTTCCCTTATATCTGCCTCCTTTCATCCTTTACCCCCATGTAATTAAATTTAGAGAAACTCAAAGAGTATTTCTTTTGTTGTTTCTGCCTTTTTAGGGGAGGGGAATGCATCACTTACGAATGCATGTGTATTTTTTTTATCATGTTCAGTTAGCCCTTTACATTCTGAGAATATCTGTGTTGCTAGGCAGACTCATTCCTAGGATATCACGTCCCACAGAGGAAAACCATAGATAATAATGGTGAGACCTGT